GCTAATCTTTGGTGAAGGATTGGCTTTAGATTCAAGAATAAGGGCCCCCCACCCCCCTCCCCCCCCCCCCCCCCCCCCCCCCCCCGCCCCCCCCTCCCCCCCTCCCCCCCCCCCCCCCCCCCCCCCCCCCCCCCCCGCCCCCCCCCCCCCCCCGTAGTATCAGGTAACGTTCACATCCCACGAATGACAAATAAGTGAAAACAAAACCCTGAGCAAGACTCTGGCTCTACTGATCTACATAGTTTTGATCTCTACTGTGTGTAAATTTGCACATTTCAGAGTCAGCATTTCTTACCGGAAGCTGAATAATCAAGTAGAGTACAACTTATCTACAGTGCAGTCAAAGTATTTGCATAATGAGCTGTGATGTTGGCTCTCTGTTGCAGCACATTGGAAATACTTTTAGTACAATGTATGGTGTAATTTTAACCCAGTAACATGTATACAGTATATTCTAGTCATGGTTATCAAATCTGACTTTTTTTTCAGGCAAGGACAAAAACTTACAAAAAAATATGTATGAACTGATGTCATGTAGGTTGGGTTTTAGTCACATGCAAAGCAAGCTCATTTTCACATGCTACCATTTCATTTTGGTTACAGTTCTTCTGTTATAAGCTTTTTCAGTTGCAAGTGCAAGTGCAGGCAAACTAGGTTAAAGAACAGGTAAAATTTAATTTGAGCAGAACAGAAACTTCAGCAGATACATGAAAAGATGTCTTGTGGTGCCAAACTCTGCAGATGCATCATTCTGCACAGTGAAGGTCACTGTAAGCAAATCAATAATGATCATATTTGATAGAGAGCTGCTTCTGGTTAATACATGAGGGTAAAAGTTCTCAGTGAAGTTAGTTCACCTTTTTGAAAACACAAATTTGTACTTGATATAGACTTCCAGTAATACACCGTTTTTCCAGACAGGGAGTGTCTGTTAAAGTCCAAACTTTGATATTTTAGTGGTTGACCATCTAGGCAGGATGTTTTTCAGCCACTGAAGTGCTGTGGGTGTCGTGTTAAAGTAAAGCAGCAAAATGACTGCGCATGTCACACAGTTTTACTACTTTCAGCATGTTTCACAACAGGAGTGGAGAAAACAGACGGAGAGGTAGAAAAAGAACAATGAGAAAAATGCCCATCACCATGGAAACGGGGGAAATTATTGTTCATTTTTCTCTCCTCTGCTCAGTAACCCTATGTTCTGCTTGTTATCAGTGTGTTTCATGTGTGCTCCACTCTCATTCCCCCGACTGGCTTCTGTGGAGTTTTAGTAATTCACTGTTTACAAAGCTCGGAAATGTTAGAATATTATAAAACGATTAGCCCGTTAGTGTTGACTTCTGGGAAAACTCTGAAACTAAGTACCATGATGAACAGTCCAGATGGGCTGTAATTTCAACACCTCATTTGCAACGTTATCAGAGCCTCATGCTTCATTTGCTTTGGAGATTGGATTTTTATTTTTTTTTAGCTAGTTGAGTAATTACATATTCCAGTAGCTTTGGGGGGTTTCTGTGAACTGCTTCAAATGCTCACATTAGTTTTGATTATCTTGATTTTTTTTATTTATTTTTTTTTATCTAAAACCTGCCTGAGGTTAATGGCAAAATAATACTTGCAAATAAAATTGTATCCCTCTGAATTTGGAAGGGAATTGCTGGTACTTGTGTGTTGTGTTTTCATGTAACTAATGCTGTTTTGTAGATTGCTATATTTAAAAACCAGGTAACATGCACTGTATTCATTATACATTCATTAGTCATTCATCATGGCCATTCTGTACAGACAATATTCAAATGTTACTTTAAATTCAGAAATTCAAATGCAATATAAACGATGTAACCTGCATTTACATTTACTGTAAAATTAAAATGGAATTATCTGACAGTTTGAAAAAGAAAATGAAACCCGCACTGCTGTACAGTGGGAAGTATATTCAAATGCAATAAGCTAAACAGCACCGCCAGTCTATTGCATTTACATTTACATGCCACCATGCTCTTGGTGTCAAAGTGAAAAATCCGTCGGTCCTCTAAAGGCGTGTCTTCAGTTAGGACAGTGTAAGGAGTGTCACCACTTTCACTACGATTCCTGATGGTCAACTACTACTAGGCCTTCCAATTACCTCTTGTGCTGCCATGCTGATGACTTTAAAAATTAGATATCAAACATCTTTTCCATTTTCATTTTAATATGTCCATATAGTGCCCATATTAGTATGTGAAAATGATGATGCAAATTGGATTTGCATTTAAATTTTTACTCAAATAACACATAAATGTGTGAAATTATAATGCTATTGTATATATACTCACCTTCAAGTTTACATAATCATTTGAATACAGTCCCTCATAACCTTCCGTAGAAAATCACAGCTTCTCCTAAAATACCAAATATGTTATAAGGAGAAATTTGACGAGAAAATAGTGTAAAGATGTTTTTATGTTTTGTGCTGTTCTGTATTTCCAATCAACGGGGTTGTGCAGCCATAAAAACTTGTTTTGGTCTTGGTTTTTAATGTTTTTCTCATAATAAACATCACTGTATAATTTCAATGGAAGCTGAAACAGAATAAATTGTATAAGACACTGTCAGTTTATGGCAAAAAGTATGTTAGTGGGTTAAACAATGGCTTGTTTTCAGTGCATCTATGTCGTCTCTCTTTCACTTAGCAGTTAGTGGTTTATATGGAGCTGATATTGTATTATTGATGCATGAAGACACTTTGAACAGTCAAAATATCTGTATTTACCCATTGGATAGGAAGGAAATCATGATAAGTACATTTTTCTGTTCCCACAGTTACTGTGTATAATAATAGCCGTTCCTCTTGTGTCCAAAATTTCTCCTTTTCAGATCAGTTCCGCCACTCGATGTGTTGCTGTTACCACGGGCACACCATCAGGAGGGGCAAATGGTTGGGGCCCCCCAAGAGGTAAATGGCCTGTATTGGCACATTTTGGAATGACAACTATAAACTCCCTCAGATCTCCCATAAAGGCATTATAAAGTGCACCACTGCTGCCCTAAAACCTAATGGGGCCCTTGACGATGTGCGCTTTAACTAGAACTGGATTACAATATATATTTACACTATATTTACATGTTGCTTATCCTTTGTTGTTCAGATACTTGTGTGTGTGTGTGTGTGTGTGTGTGTGTGTGTGTGTGTGCGCGCGCACATATGGTGTTACTTATTCATTTCTAATAAATGATTATGATGTTTGATCAAGCACAGTCCTTGGATGGATGCATCTTCACCTTGGGCCCTGCACAGTCTATGATTGACACTGGCAGTTACCTGTTGTTTGTGTGAGGAAACCACTTTGTGTAACGCTTTCTGAAACGCACTCTGCTTGCATGCTCTGTCAGAATACATATTTAAAAGCATGCGTATAGTAAGTTTGCTACTCAGAACACAACTTCATTTATTTTTGATAGTTAGTTTACTGCTTTTTGACAAGCTTCATTACACAGAGGCCAGTGTAAACATGTATCTTATCGCAGGTCTGCGAGTGAAGGTGGATTTCCCCTCAGGACAAAGGTCCTCATGTCAAATCACACCACCTGGGTCAGTATTCAGTTCCACACAGGTAACACATTAGTGCAGACAAGCACATACTGTATACTTCACTGTATGTCTCCACCCTCTAACCGTGTCGCATTTAAATGCATTCAGTGACCTTTGGCCTGTGTTAGAATTATTGGAACATGAATATTGAATATGGATAGTAAAAGTGACTCTGGCTACTGTATGAAGGTTATAGCTTTAATGTTGTGTATATGTGCGACTGCTTGTGTCTTGTGTGTTTTGACCAAACGAGGTTAAAGAGTAATCTTCCAGCATCCACCTGCATCTCCTCCTCTCATTACAGCTCTGTCTGCTGTGTCCATCTGCAGCTTTTCTCCCTGCAGCGCCACAGTCTGTGATTGATGGAATAAGCCAAGTAGCAGAGACGGATAGAAGGAGGCAGATACATTTATTGAAGCAAATAAAAGATGGCTAGAGCGAATAGTCCGGGGGGGGGGGGGGGGCCTGAGCTGTCAGGGATTTCTTGAATGGCAAAGCTATTTCCACCTGCAAAAACAAGGCTTTTGAATCCCCACTGCACCGGCTCGCTCTGTCTGAGCCACTGCAGCAGGGATTCAAAAGCCTTGTTTTCTGATGGTATCCGACATGCTGTTATTGCCTTCAGTTGCTGCACTTGGAGCCCGATAATGGATGTGTACAATTGGCCACACGTGTGCACACACAGACACGCACACAACTTTTTTTTTTCTCCTGCGAAGTGACATTTCTCTGTTACTCTCTCAAGTGGAAGTGAAATCAAAGCATTTTTCTGTTATTCAGGTCACTCAGTGAGTCAGGTGTCACTCCAAAACTGGAAAAAGGTGACTACAAGAGGCAGAGTGTGCAGGTATGCATGCACACAAACACCCACACACACCTTTTCTGAACTCCAAGTGATCTCAGCTGTTCTTAAAGTGGAAACAAAATAGAAGGAAGAAACACTTTAAAGGCAGAAGCCTGGGTGAGGAGCCTACTAAAACTGAAGCCAACAGAAAGTCTAAAGTAAAGTAATTGAGGAATCTGGTGTCAACAGTGTTTCCCTCTCATGCATCTGAAAGAAGGCAGAGCAGCAGAGATAGCTGGATTATATATTACACCTTTTGGAAAAACTTGAGATAACGCACCGCCCACTAATGGCTTTACAAATGAAGGAAAGGCAAACATTTGTGCTCACGCTGCAATAAAAAGTGGATGAATAGCTTAAATGGACAAACAATGGGTGAGGAGGTGTCACAGTGGAGCCGGCAGAGCAGGGGAAAGAGAGGGACAGGGGAGCGAGGTGATTGTGAAATGTAGAAACAGTATGGGAGGGAGGGGTGGACCAGTCTTCCTCTCTCTGACCAGTCCTTATGGGGGTGAACTTTGTTCTTATCTGGCACGGCCGCTCAAAAGCGGAGTGAATACGTTACCCTGTCCACCAGTTTATAAGTCATCCCCTTAAACCTCACCGGAGAAGAAGAGGAGGAGAGGGGGCCAAGAGATGAACGAGGAGGGAAGAGAGAGAGAAGCAACAGGAGAACAAACAGAGGAGTGAAAAGAACAAAAAAAAGTAAAAGAGGGCTTTGGGTTTTTTCTCCAGTGTTACTGCAACATATTTACCACGATTACAGCGGTGTGATCCAGCAGCTGCTGCGATGTGGATGGAAACCAAAACAGAGGTTGGGGAGGCCAGCAGGAGTCGTGCCAGCTTCAGCCGGCGTGCGTTGAATGCTCTGCTGTTGTGCACTGGGGACATGAAGCACTTGGATGAGTACATGCAGGGTAGGAAAACGCCACACTGCTGCATCCTGTCGCTCTTACTCACTTCTACTCTCGAAGTCTAAAATGCTGTGACCTTTTATAAAAATGTGTTTCCGAAATAATGCATAATTCATCAAGTCTCTTCATAATGTGATTAATGGCAGAACATTTTGAAAAGAGGAAACTTTCCCAAACACTTGAAATGTGTTAAACTGCTACAATCATAAACAAAAGGATTTGAAATGCTTACGGTGCCATTAAAATATGCAGATGTAATCATCACACAACTCCCATGAATGCTGTTGCACGTAAAATATAATCATCATTAAACTCTCATCATGATTCGTTTATAAAACCCTGAATTGGCATCATTGAATCCAACGGAGAAACAAGTCTTGTGCCTCTTTAGTTCCACTTTTTCAACATCTGTGAGAAAAAAAATAGTCTCAAAAGGTTTTTCACAGACTGTGTTTTCTTCCTGCCCTCAGATAAGTTATTTGTGCTGCAGCTGGCGGTGTGGGGCCTGAGAGGGGTGGCCAGGGTGATTCTAGCAAACAACCCGCTGAGTGGTGCTCTCATCCTGGCTGCACTGTACTGGGCTTCCCCCTGGCAGGGCCTGCTGGGAACTGTGGGTGTTCTGGTCTCTACGCTAACAGCTATTATCATGGGACAAGACAGGTACAAGGACATGAACGACTACACACAAACAGCTCAAAAATACACACAGTAATATGTTAATATGTATTGACCTGGTATTTTAAGAGCACACAATAGAAAAAAAAAAAAGTCTCTTTCATTTTAAACAGTCGAACCTTCATTAAAAACCTGTCTGCTGCTTGGAAGCCAATAATTTACTGGGCCCATATGACTGAAGTTGATTGAGGCTTCTACTTAAAATTCATGAGAATAACAGCTCCATGACCGATAGCTCTGTGTTCACCCACACCCACCGCCTGGCAACTCTTATTTCAGTTCCTGTCTCAATATTTATGCCGCACCGAGTTTAAAATGCTAATGCGCAACCTTGTTTTAACATTTTAAAAATAATTGCATTTGACCTGGAGCCACTAATGTTTTATGTCTGACATGTAGAATACAATAAGTGTGACCCCGGGGCCTTTTCTCATTAAAACTGAACAGTTGGTTTCACAATGGCCCATAAAAAGCTGTGCTAATGTGCGTTTGGATCATGAAAACAAAAGATCATTACTGTACATTATTGTACAGTAATGTTGTCTTCTTTTGTCTTCTAAACAGACACTAATTGTGATGTGTGTGTGTGTGTGTGTGTGTGTGTGTGTGTGTGTGTGTGTAGTGCTGAGGTGTCAGGGGGTCTCCATGGCTTTAACGGCATGTTGGTGTCTCTGCTGATGGGAGCGTTTAGTTCGGCTGGTGACTGGTACTGGTGGCTGCTGCTGCCTGTCTGCTTTGGGTCAGCTACATGGTGAGACAAGCACACACACACACACACACACACACACACTGTAGCTCAACATTCATTCAAAAGGACGTGACCTGCTCCTTTCAAAACACGTGACAATAAATGATTCATGCAACTGTTTTCTGAATTTCCAGCACTAGTGTTAATGCTTGATTAGATATGAATAGAATGGTTGTAGTCATGATTAAAACACAATAAAATTCAACATAATTAATCTATTATCAGTCTTATTAAATCTATCATTTAAAAATGATTCATCTTACTTTCGTGCCACAGCAGTTATGAGTCACAGTAGGAATCACTCCTGTCTCCAAGAGAACCAAAAGACACTATCGCTAATGTCAATCAGCCTTTTACACACATCTCAAGACTGAAAGTGAAAGAAAACAGATTATTGCTTTGCCTCCAGTTCACGTGTAGAATGGATGCCACGGTGGAACCATTTTGGAAGGGCTCTGCATTCATGTAATTCAACACCAATTGTGTCTGTACAAATTAAGTGCCAATATTTCAATGTAACATGTATTAACACGTGTTAGAAATAATCAGTCCATCCGCTCTTTTGTCCTCCTTCCCTTTCTCCAGTGTCTTTCTGTTCAGTGGTCTCTCCTCAGTGATGGACCGCTGGGACTTGCCCGTCGCCGTGTTTCCCTTCAACATCATCATCTTCCTCTACCTCCTCTGTACCGGCCAAGACAATCCCTATTTTCCGCACCGACAAGCTCTGCCACCAGGGGCACTGGAGCCTAATGGCACCACGCTCATTGCAGTAGAGGTAAGGAAGCAATCTTATGTTTCATTAAATGTTTGTGCATAGGCTGAGTTATACATTATGAGATAACTGTACTGAAATACTAAAGGAGGAAGACAGTTTTTGTAAACTAACTTTAAAAGGTCTATAGAATGTTATATTCTATATATTAAATATGTAGATATACAGTTATATATGTAATACACAAAAACTGTCTTTCTCCGATGAAAAAAAAGCAGCTGCAACTTGTTTTTCTTGTGGCAAACATAAGTGTCAGATTAACTCTGATGGGTGAGTCCCTGCCTCACAGCGCAGGTGCACCTTGCCCTGTGCACAGAGGATGTGTTATCATATGGAAACAGAGCAGTGGGAGAATTTCATTATAATACTTCCTGAGGTCATTGGGGGGGTTGTTAGAGGCTGGTACAGATCAAGGCCAACCAGATCGTCACCTTCTTAACATGAAATATACTTTCCACACATACTGACAGTTTAATGGTGCCATGAGTCTGGGCCGTCTTCTGAGAGGAAACTAATATTCTTTTCCAGGATCTGCTGCAAGTGGAAATATCAAGCAGCTGAAATATGCTGCCAAGGGCAGATAATGTCTATTTGTATGAATTTATGATTTGCAAGTCCAGCAGTCACTATATTTTCAGTGTGCAATGGTGCAAAACTTTCAAAAAAAACTCATACAGTATGACCCCATTTGCACCTACAGATAACAAATGATTACATAAAGTTATTGTTTTGCAGATTGCCTACATTTTAAAGTCACTGCACCAACAGTTTAAGCTGAAGAGAGGAGAGAGAGAGAAGGGGAAGTCATTTTAACCAAATCCAGGTTCTTCTGTGAGTTAGTTTAACAGTGAATGAGCATTGATTTTATTCTACACAAGATATTGTTTGGATTAAGCTATCTATAAAAGCTGCTTATGTAACTACTGCATCCATGCTAACATTTGTGTACTGTGAAGCCACACTCAAATCTCACCAGCAGCATCAGCCCATGGCTTCCACGGCTTCAACAGCTTAAAAGCTGTTTTTAAAATCATGTCTGAACAGTAGTAAATAATTTCATGGTGATTTGCAATAAGTGTTTGCATTGGTGCTTTTTTTTTATCATTGGTACTTTTCCTAGTATCTGCTCAGATGGGAGGGAAAGCACACTGCAAGGCTCAAATTGCATTTTTGTTCATCGGCATTTCAACAGGCCGAGCAGCCATCATGAGGTCTGTCAGGGTAACATTGCAGTGAGGCAGCCCATCGAGTCACATGAGGCGAACAAGAGGCGCAGTGCATTAGTAGTGTTAAAGGGATATATTAGACGTGACAGAATATATAATGAAGCAAGAACCCAAAAAGACAAAAACCAAGCTGCACTGAGGCCTGAGTTATCCTCGGTGCAGCTGCCATGTTGCAGCTTGGTCTCCAGAGTGAGCAAGAAACTGATGGGAGCACAGTATGCAAGATCAGCCAGCTATGACTCACCGGTTACTTAGCAACAGTCACTGATGGAGCTCCTGTTAGGAAATTATAATAAGCCCAAACAGTTTTAATTAAAGATTCTGGTGATTGAAACTCATAGGGGAGGTGAAGCTATCGTATTCAAGATGCTGTGTTTTATTGTGTGTTGTTCACTTTCTGAGGCCTGAGCCTGTAGAATATCTAGAAGTGTGATGGACAAGCTCAGGCTTAAATATCATGTCACTCAGATTTCCAGGAAGTTGAAGGGCATTTAATAAGCAGCTGTTGCCATGGTAAAACCAAAGTGGAAAAAAACAACAAACCATAACAATAAGGCCTAAATTCCTCTGCTACTGTAAGTCCAGATGATTAAAGTAAAAGCTGTTGCACAGATCACCTTGTAAAAAAAAAAAAAAAAAAACGTGTGAATTCAGATGAAATGCATTTGCCTTTTCCTGCCTCTCACGAGACTTTGACAAAAGAATCCAGAGTCCCACGACCTGCTGCAGTCGGCTTTTGATCACTGCGAGCCAGCTGCCTAAAGAGCAACTGACTTCTAATCTCTTTTCTGCTTTTCTGTTGGAAACAGGGAGGACACACATCATGTGATCCGAATCTGTCTCCTTGAAATGTAATGAGTGTACAGGAGGATTTATATATTGACATTACAGTTTGATAGTATGTGCTTATTGTATAGAACGTCATTCACAGATACAACAAACTATAGAAAGTCCTACGAACATGTATAAAAAAACACTATGCAATGTCCTCACTCTACAAATTTTTATTTTAGCAGCATAACACATATTGTTTCAACAATATTGTATTATAATTTAAAGCTGCACCAATCAGTATTTTCATATTAACGGTGTCCCAGATAAGCATGTGTAATATAGAGGAAATCACTTCACTCAGTCCCCCAGAGTTGTAAGGCAAGTGAATATTTGACTTGTGTTTGTCGGGTCACCAGAAACACGACTCCCATTGAAAGCTGATGTTGCTCTGTATCTGCTTGATGTGTAAATGGAAATCATTTTGCTAACACATTCACCACATTAACCTTAGAGGTGTTCTGAAGCTCACACGGGGCCAAAAAAATCCCACCCTTTATGTCTTTTATGAAAATAAAGTGGCTCATTATACTGTACAGTACACAACCAAAATGACCCTTTCCACAGAAGGGTGATGGCCCTTAAAAGGACATCTACTTCCTTTCATTTTCCTACTACTGTTAAAAAGATTAAGCTTAGGCTCAACAAGGACAGGAGGTGTAATTACATTTTCCCCAGAGCTTTTCCATGACTTTAACCTCCTCGGAAATAGTCAGTACATTTTGCAGAGGTGACACAGAAACTTTAAGCAGCAAGGTACAAATGTAGTGCATGAGAGATGCACAAATAACAACAAACAGCATTTTAGAAGATCATCTGAGATGACCTAACCGGCTTATCCCAAGCTGGGTTCCACCTTCAGACCTGTAAAATTCAGTATATTCATCTGCTACATTAACCCAACACTGTGGATGTAACTTCCACTTAAGCTACTCTTTATATGGAGAAAAACACACTTTCTGTCTCCAGTATGACCTTGCTTCATTATGTTTTCCTGAGAAAAAAAAAAAAAAAAAAAACCCCTCTTGAAACATAATACCGAGGACACATCATTAGAGCTATAAGAGGGCGTCTTGGTATGGAAGTATCTGACAAAGAAAACACTGACTGAAGTGGAGTGGTAAGTGGAGTGGTTGGAGTCATTTAGAGTGTGGCGTTAGGAGCGCAGTGAGATCTTGGAGTGGAGAGGGATGCTGCGTCTCTGCACACGAGGATCTGCCAACTGACTGTGAAGTTGTCTAAACTAGATTATCTACGCTGACTAAAGCCTCTCAGCGCTGCTAGGTGACCTGAATATAGAGCCAAGATTTACACACGATTCTATTAACAAGCATCACACCCCATGGCACAGTATGTCCCGCACACTATATAATTACTTTCCACAAGTTTCAGCTCCTCCATCTCTCTTCATATTTCTTACTCTATTTCAGAGTCCCTCCCTCATTTTCTATCCCCTTCTTCAATCTCTTTTTTTTTTTAATAATCCACATATTTTCCTTCCTGTTTCCCTCCAACTGTCTGTCTCTCACCTTGTAAATGATGTTTTCATATTATAAATTCCCTTTCTTTTGTTACTTGGGAGATTTAAAACCTCTAAATCTTTCTTTTTATCTCTCTGCTTCTCCTCTCCCCAGACGTTATCCTTTTCTCTGCTCTGCTATGCAAATGTCCTTCCTCTTTCTCCCACTTCCTCCATTACTTTTTCAATTATCCGTCTCTTTTGTCCCTCTTTCCTCTCCTTCCTCATATTTCAGCTTACAATAAACAATATAACCACATATTCAAGGCCAGCATAATTAAGTCATAGATTTTTTTTCTGTCATAGTCCTTGAAACAATCTCATCCTCATTCATTTCTCTCTCTTTCCTCCTCCTCTTCTCTCTCCATTTCCCTCTTTTTCATCACATTTTTCTCTCCTCCTTCCTTTTCATCCACAATTCTTCATTTCCTCCTTTCTTTTCTCCTCCTCCTCTAGTCTTTCCTATGACTCTCTCTGGAGATGGCGATGACGTCGGTCCTATTTATATTTAATGTCTTCAGCTTTCACTCTGCTGAGGATGGTGCTCCGGCTGCACTACCACGGCAGTGTGTTCAATCTCACTGGACACAGACACACACACACGTGCACACGTACACTGTAAGTGCAGCAGCGATAGGCTAATTGAAGCCCATTTATGACTTGTCAATATAGGCAGGTGCACCCATCGCGTCGCCATGGAAACGCTTCCCTTCTCACTGTCAGTTGGGAATACAGCGTGTGCGTGTGTAAGAGTGTGTGTATGTACGTGTTTGACTGGGTGATTTCACATATTTTTATCGTTTATTTATTTTATCCTATGGGATTTTTTTTTTTACTTGCATATAAAATTGTATATTCATGATGATTGTCAGCCACATTATCGTTAAATGTTACCTCTCTTTTCTGACAGATCATATCCAGCATGTAAAAGTCAATAAGAGCCTCTCTGACCCCGAATCAATCAGCATGGGTGCCTTGAGCTCTCCAGTGCTTTCCATATTGTGGACACCAGGATAAATACATAGCATTATTCAAACTCCCTGATGGTGCTGCTATCCTTCATTTACTGTAGAGAGACAATGATGCATCACCCACTCGTCTGAGAGAATTTTGTACATCGGTGTGATGATAACCACCTAATTCTGAATGTGAAGGAAACTGAGCTGGTGTTTGACCGCAGGGCAGTAGGTGACCGTAGCCAGGTGATTATCCACAACACTGCCCATTAATCACATACGCTCCTATAATTATCTTGGTGTCTATATTGATAACATGTTTGCCTGGCAAGCCCATGTTGACAGCCTATGCTCCAGGCTACTGCAGAGGTTGCACTTTTTGAGAAGGCTGTTCTGTTCTGTTTCTGTTCTACCAGGCAGCCTTAGAGAACCTGATCAGGTTACAGGTTTGTTATTATATCCTCTCGGTACAGGTAAAATCTAGGCTTGCCCATCTTGTTCAGACCACAGGGAAGAAAGAATACCAGTCACTCTATATCTATTTACAAGCAGTCTGTTCTCAGAGGAGGACAGAGAATACTGGATGGTCCATCCCATGGTACAAGCTTTTACCCTCTGGCAGACGATATAGAGTACCTCGTTTGTTCCAATATGTCAAACTGTAAGGACATAGTATGAGCTACAGAGGCAATAGTCCCAAAAAGGGATATTGTTAGGATGGACGTGTCGTGCAATACATTGCATCTTAATGTTGTGCCGTGTTGTTTTAACAGTGTTGTTTGTATGTCAGGATGTTGTTGACTTGTCACATGTCTATGTACTCTGTAAAATATAGAATGACATTTGCTCAATTCAGCAGCACTAGCCAAAGACAAATTTCCCTAAATGGACAATAAAGTATATTGTAACGTAATGTCGTATCATATCGTATTGTATGTGCAATATGTTTGTATAAACGCTTCTCCTCTCCTCCTCCATCGTCTCGTCCTCTCTCCTGACCATGCAGGTGATACGTGGTATCCCTCTGGGTGTGGGTCAGATCTTCGCCTGTGGAGCCCTGGGGCCCTCCCTACTTATCCTGGGAGCCGTTCTGCTCTACTCCCCCCTGCTGGCCGTCCATGCTCTGCTTGGATCAGCAGTTGGCACATTGGCTGGTGAGTCTCAATCTGTATGTTCATAGGTCTGTATGGTGAATATTATTGGATTCGTTTGCAAACTATTATTAACTTTCTGAGATAAAAAGCTTTTATAGAAGAGTTAAAATGTTAAATCAAATTACAAGTTGGAAGTTTAGTGGTGGGGATGTTAAAGTCATGTGTCTGTGCTGTGGTTTATAGCCAAACATTAGCGTTTTACTGAGGCTATTGTATTTAGACTTCAAAGTCATGAAAGTGGTGTTCATTTGTGAATATTATCTTGCTCAACAAAACATGTAAGTATTGTAAACTTTAGTTTATCACAGAGTTTATTTTCTGCAATAATCCAAAAGCCAATGTAAAAATCCCATTGTTTTTTTGTCGAGAGAATGTCGAGGGAACCGGGGTGACACTAACTTCTGGGTTTGCCTACAAAAATACGTCATCCCTGCAGCACTCTATGTACTGCAGCCATAGCTGCACAAGTCATCGTACCTGTGCCAGTAGCATAATGCAGTATCGTAAACTTTTGTCTTAGGGGACCTTTATTAAACCATCAGTCAGGACCTCAAATAAACTGCAGGTTGAGCCGCCTGTATGGCAGCCATTGAATTACAGTAGCCTGTGTATCACTGAGGTTAAAGTCAGACAATGCGTATGAATCCATCTGGCAATAACACAAAATGTCAGCAGCACATACAAATATGAAACTGTAAGACAGGCAGCAGCAGCCTGTGGGCAGCCACACAGCTCCAAAATACACACAGCAATTAGTCAGGGTGCTGATAACCACTGGCTTATATTGAAATACACAGGCCTGTGGCTACGTATGCCTTTTACATCTGCCTCACTGTGACTAGTCAGAGAGAGAGAGAGAGAGAAATGCTGGGAGTTTAAAAAGACTTCAGCCCCCTGGTTCCGTCTGCTGCTACAAGTACAATACAGTGTACTAAAATACTTCAGTGCGTGTGTGTGTGTGTGTGTGTGTGTGTGTGTGTGTGTGTGTGTGTGTGTGTGTGTGTGTGTGTGTGTGTGTGTGTGTGTGTGTGTGTGTGTGTGTGTTTGTGTGTGAGTGTGTGTGTGTTTGTAGCTATGAGTCATACTGTAACAGAGGAGTTTGCTCATACACACACTTGCACAAACCATAGACCAATGCTAACAATGGCAGAAACACACACACACATAAACACACACACACACACATACACACACACTGCTGCAATAAAAAAAAAGTGTGACAAGAAAGTGATCAAAGAGATGTGTCTCTAATGAGATTGTGTAGGCAACAAAGCTGGAAGGGAGCAGCCTGCTGGAGCATGGCGACTGAACGCATAAGAGCAAATCACCAAATATGGTCTCTATCGCTGCCATTTGTGTCTTCTCTTGTTTACTTCACCCTTTCTTCCTTCCGCCCACCAACATTGTACAATCCTGTCTTTCCATGTGTTCTCCAGTGACTTCTCCTTTCTCCAACTCAGGATTTTAGCATGAATTAAGTGATTTGTAGCCCTCGTTGACTCTGGAAAAGTCACCCATTCTTTTATTTCTTTCATTCGAAGCTTCACTGTTCAGGGTTCCACCAGAGGCAATTTTCTATTCAAAATGCAGCTGTTATTGTATTAACAATTTCCAAGGGACAAGAGCACATTACACTAAGTCTACTCCACTTTTCTAGTTGCACGGGAGTGTAAGAATTGACTTAAAGTTGTGACTGTTATCTAAATGTCACAAGAATAAGGCTAATATTCTCTAATATTTTTCTTACAGTCAACAAATCCAATAAAAACAGACTTCCATCATTGTCCAAAACCTATTAAAAACCCATCCATAAGCCCCACTGTGGGTGACAAGAACATGTACACTGTTCACTCTATCACACACACAGCATTACTGTATATACTCAGTAGAGCACTGAATGTGTATTAAATTGTCCCCAACAAATGGACCATGTACTCCTTTGCTAAAAATTCCAGTGCCTGTTGTTTTGCATATAAGATAACTACATTGGTCTTATGTCTAGAGGACTAACTGGATATAGTTAGTGTAGTTAGTTTAATTAGATATAGTTAGTTCTCTAGATATAAGCAGGTGTCCTCAGGCTGGAGTCATTCTTACAAGGCTGTCTCCACCTGGGCCATTCAGCTGTCAGGCTCCTTGCCTATCTCATGTTAATTAAGTTAAGTCCATTTCAGCTTTTAAATCTCCTCTTAAACATATAAATGGTATTTCATGTTTTTATTCTCCTCTTTTATCTCTATTTCTTCTCATTTTAATAATAGCTACTTTTTATTCTTTATTTTTATCTTGCAGTTGTTTCTTACATTACTATATCACTTTTTTTTGTGAGACACTTTGAAACTTTGTGGAAGAATGTGATGAAGAAGTTCATTATCACTTTTCTTTCGTGGACATTTGGTGTATGATGCATCTTTCATGAAGCAGTTTGGTGAACTGGCTGCCCTGAATAAATGTAAATGTACTAACACACACCCACGCGCAGAAACAAATGAAGCCGCGGAGCACAGTGAGAAAGTTAAGTGTGTGAATAAGTGCTACAAGGTTAGATTCAAAACTTAATCCTATCTGACAGAGAACTAGAGGGGAAAAGATGGATCAGTATCAGGAGACAAAGAAAAAAGTGTCAGATGGAGATGGAGGGGGGAGAAGGGGTAAGGAGCTGAGGAGGGGGAAAAAAAGGGGTGCAAATTGAGTGATGGAGAAAAAGGAGCACCCGAGAGAAAAGTAACAAAGACAGATGATAATAAATGCAACACCGAAGAAAAGAGGACTCCCTCAATGATCAAGAGATCTGAACATGTGTGTGTGACACCATCTTCTTCAACACTATAGACAACAGCCCAGCCCCCTGGCTCTGTCTTTTGTCCCCTGATGAACAACCCTTTGCTTCTTTCTTGTTCCCTCTCTGACTCTTTTAATCCTTTCATCTTATCATTCTCCAAAACTCCTCCTCATCTTTCTTTTCACTTGCATCACTCTCTACACTGCCTCTAAAATGCACAGTATAAAGCCCGTTTGTTTTCAGGAAAGAAGTGTGTGTGTGTGTGTGTGTGTGTGTGTGTGTGTGTGTGTGTGTGTGTGTGTGTGTGTGTGTGTGTGTGTGTGTGTGTGTGTGTGTGTGTGTGTGTGTGTGTGTGCTCTCGATTCATTGTCCAAAACCTATTAAAAACCCATCCATAAGCCCCACTGGGGGTGACAAGAACATGTACACTGTTCACTCTATCACACACACAACATTACTGTATATACTCAGTAGAGCACTGAATGTGTATTAAATGTCCCCAACAAATGGACCATGTACTCCTTTGCTAAAAATTCCAGTGCCTGTTGTTTTGCATATAAGATAACTACATTGGTTCTTATGTCTAGAGGACTAACTGGATATAGTTAGTGTAGATTAGTTTTATTAGATAATAGTTAGTTCTCTAGATATAAGCAGGTGTCCTCAGGCTGGAGTCATTCTTACAAGGCTGTCTCCACCTGGGCCATTCAGCTGTCAGGCTCCTTGCCTATCTCATGTTAATTAAGTTAAGTCCATTTCAGCTTTTAAATTCTCCTCTTAAACATATAAATGGTATTTCATGTTTTTATTCTCCTCTTTTAATCTCTATTTTCTTCTCATTTTAATAATAGCTACTTTTTATTCTTTATTTTTATCTTGCAGTGTGTTTCTTACATTACTATATCACTTTTTTTTGTGAGGACACTTTGAAACTTTGTGAAGGAATGTGATGAAGAAGTTCATTATCACTTTTCTTTCGTGGACATTTGGTGTATGATGCATCTTTCATGAAGCAGTTTGGTGAACTGGCTGCCCTGATAAAATGTAAAAGTACTAACCACACCCACGCGCAAAACAAATGAAGCCGCGGAAGCACAGTGAGAAAGTTAAGTGTGTGAATAAGTGCTACAAGGTTAGATTCAAAACTTAATCCTATCTGACAGAGAACTAGAGGGAAAAGATGGATCAGTATCAGGAGACAAAGAAAAAAGTGTCAGATGGAGATGGAGGGGGGAGAAGGGGTAAGGAGCTGAGGAGGGGGAAAAAAAGATGTGCAAATTGAGTGATGGAGAAAAAGGAGACCCGAGAGAAAAGTAACAAAGACAGATGAATAATAAATGCAACACCGAAGAAAAGAGGACTCCCTCAATGATCAAGAGATCTGAACATGTGTGTGTGACACCATCTTCTTCAACACTATAGACAACAGCCCAGCCCCTGGCTCTGTCTTTGTGTCCCTGATGAACAAACCCTTTGGCTTCTTTCTTGTTCCCTCTCTGACTCTTTTAATCCTTTCATCTTATCATTCTCCAAAAACTCCTC